AGAAAGTGTGTGTGGCTCAGCAAGCCCAGACAGAGCACACCACCCCCCACCCGCCCATGGAAGCAACCCGCGCCTGGCCGTGTGTCTGTTCTGACCCTCGTGACAGACTCACAGCCATGCTCCGTGCCCAGTGACCCCACAAACAAGGAAAACAGCCTTGATGCGAGCCCTCTGCATTTCCAGCATCTTCAGAGAGACTACTGATCCAAATTGTTGCTGATGGCAAAGAAGAACAACTTAAAATATATACGAACTTCAAGCAATGATATAAAGCTAATGTTTTAAACACGCACCCGTAGCACCATTCATGAAATGCTGCTGGTTTCAGCAACAAAGCTGGTCCTGGCGTGGCCTGGCAGGCGTGGTGATGTTGCCTCAAGTCACTTTGATACTGTTTCCCAGGGCGCAGAGCTGGTTTCTTCCTTCTTCCTTCCTTCCTTCCTTCCTTCCTTCCTTCCTTCCTTCCTTCCTTCCTTCTTTCTTTCTTTCTTTCTTTCTTTCTTTCTAAAAGATTTTATTTATTTGGGAGAGAGACAGTGTGAGAGAGAGAGAGAGCAGGAGCAGGGGGAGGATTAGAGGGAGAAGCAGACTCCCCGCTGAGCAGGGAGCCCGATGCGGGGCTCGATCCCAGGACCCTGGGATCATGACCTGATCTGAAGGCAGACGCTTAACCAACTGAGCCACCCAGGCACCCACAGAGCTGGTTTCTGCCAACACTGGATGTTTTCCGACGACCCTCCACATCCTGGCACAAATGCCCGCTGGGAGCCTGGCTCAGGTCCAGCACCGACACACGCATCCTCTCTTTCTCAAGGAAATGAGGGAGAACAGTGTCAGCAAACTCTCAGAGCTGACAGAGGTCAGCCCATTAAGGTGCAGGTGGGTGAAGGGACGCTGGCCTCTTGGGGGGCAGGTGGCCCAAGGATCAACCCAGGCCCGAGGCGGGAGGGAGGAGGGGGAGAGGGGGTCCTGGGGCAGCCAGTGGAGCCTGGGGGAGCATGGGAGCACCTCTTACCAGGAACTGGTTTACCCAGTTTGCTAACTGGTCACCTGGCAAGACCCCTGGGAGTGGAGCAGGCTTGGGGAAGAGGGGCAAACCCTGGGGCGGGGGGCTGCAGGCTGGCCTGACAGTGGGGCTGGGCTGCAGGGAGCCAGCTGGCTGTGCAGCCTGGGGAGGGGAGGGCCCTGGGCTGGGGCCAGGCTGGGTGGGTGGGAGGCTATTGCCTTCAAGGCTCCTAGACTTTGCTTATGCCCTTTCTCAGGGGACAGAGTCGCCATGGGGGTGGGTCTCTGCTCTGGTCAAGGACCCAGATTCTGCTGAGAGGGGCGTTTGCTGCCCATCCACACCGTGTGCTGGAGGGTGGACACCCCGACTCCTGATCTTTGACTTGCTCATTCAGAAGCACACTTGGCTGCCGCCCTGGGGCCCTCAAGTCCCTGGGCAGAGAATGATTCAGGGTACGTCCATGCAAGCAGTGACCCCCCCGTGCCCAAGGTGGGGTGGGGCAGGAAACGTCCCCAGAGAGTGGAGGCTCCTCACACAGGGGGACCCCCAAACGGTCTCAGGTCCTACTGTGTGGACCAGACTACCGGTTTCTGATTCTACTATAATCTTGCAAGTCTGCGAGAGGCTGGGGGCGAGGTGCGGTGGGGGGACTGGGCAAGCTGCCCGGAGTCCCACCGAGTCCCACCCAGCGTGCTGAGCCCCGGAGTGCCTGGCTGCGTTCCCACGGCTGTTCCGACGTGCCTGATGGCAGCGCTTGGTGGAAGAGTTTGTGTGGTGATCTGGAGCACACACACACCCGTGTGCAGACCCCTGCAGGACCAGTGAGGCCACCAGCCTCCCCTCACCTTGTCCCATGCCCTCATCAGGTGCTCCTGGGCCATTAAGCGTTGGGACCTGCAGGGTGTGTGTGTGGGGGGGTCTTCAGGAGGGCCTGACCCAAGAGCTGGACGCGGCATTTGGAGCCCCCATCCCGTTCCCCTGCCCGGTGGGAGATGTTCCAAGGACTCAGCCTGGGGAGAGTGGGTGCTGTTGAGACCACCTGGACAGTAGACGTGACTGAACCCCGTGAAGGCTTCTATATAAACTTTTAAGATCCTGGCGGGCAGGCGCAGGGAGCTTTGCGTCTTGAAGTCGCCCACGACAAGTCTTGTCCGTGAATTCCCTTGCTTGTTAAGACAGCCACCTGCCAGTCTGGAGGGGCCTGCCTCTTTCTTCAGTTGCTCCTGGCCCTCTGTGTACGGGGCCCCGTTTTGAATTTCACCCAGGAAACTCCCGGGGTTTCAAACCAACAAATAGCAAAGCATGGATGAAGACAGTGAAGGGTGCTCCATGAAATTGTTGCCCCTGTTTTCAGAGGGTGAGCAGAGCATGATGGGAACCTTTATTTATCAGGGCTCATAGCCACAGATGTTCGCTGGCCTCCCCTGGGACCTGAAGGGGGCCGGCAGGGCTGTGCCCAGTGGTGAGAACCACGCACAACCTTGCCCTGCAGAGCCCCAGGGACTGTCAGCTTATGTGTCTACTCTGCCAGGCCACAGTGCCCAGGGGTGGGGTCAAACATTATCTGAATGCCGCTGTGAAGGTGTTTTTAGGTGAGATTAATCTCGATGTGAGTGGACTCTGACCCCCCTCCATCGTGTGTGGGCCACATCCAATCAGTTGAAGGTGTCAAAAGAAAAGTCTGAGGGCCGCCAAGGAAGGGTTCTCCTCCGAGGGCCTCCGGCCATGAGTGGCAGCCTCAGCTCTACCTGCGCCTCCAGCCCCACAAGCCCATGAGCCAAATGCTGCAAATCTGCCGCCTCCCCTGGTCTCCCCTGCGCGTACATCCTGTGGGTTCCGTCTCTCTGGAGAACGCTGACTTCCACTCCCCGGATCCCACACCCACTCTCCTCATCTACGCACGCGGTCCGGAGGGCGAGGGCCCCGGCAGAGCGCGTGGGAGCTGCCTGCGTCCTGCTATGCTCGTCCTGGACCGCGGGGCCCAGCTGCCCCGTCTGCTCGGCCGCCCCGGGACGCCTTTTCCTTCCCCTCTCCCCCCACTGGCCACGCACCTGCTGCCAGAAGGCCACCCCTCCCGTCTCTCTGGCTTTCCTCCATTTCCTCTGTCCACCTGTGGTCCCTTGCTGGGGCCCCCGGGGCAGCCTGCTCACCCTGATGGCCTCCATCCTCCCTTCGCCTCTCCACACAGGGGCCCGGGCATCCGGACACTATGAGGAGACAACATGAGGGCCCCACTGTCCCTCAGCCCCTCTAACCTTGGCCATGGTGGGCCACCCTCCCCTAACCCCTGCCCTCCCCCTGCCCTCTCTTGGTCTGGAATTCCCCAAGCCCCTCACTGGGACCTTCCATGCCAGCGTCCCTCCACCTGCAAAGTGCTACCTCAAACCCCCGCTCCTTCCCGCCACCTGCCCCGACCCCGAGATGCCTGGGCTGATGGCAACACAGACAGTTCTGCCACCGAATCTGTGGGTCTCCTCACGTTGTGACCCTCGCTTCTCAGGGCAGGTCCCCAGGGCCCTGCAGACGTGCGAGACCAGCAATGCTGAGGTGCTCTCCTCAGAGCACCAGGCCCACTGTGGCACCGCCTTTCTCTGTGACGTATGGAGGGTTTCTGTCTGGGGCTTCCTGGACGGGAGCAGAGTGGAGGCCTGTGTGTCCTGCCACCAGCCTGGCTCACGGCACACAGCCGGTGCCCCATGAACATTTGGTCAAAGAAAGAACTGATTTCAACAATGTCTCCCTCACCCCCCATTAAGCCTCTTCCTGGGGGCCACGCGTCAGTCCCAGCCAGGCCAGGAGGCAAGGGGAACCTAGGAGAACAGCCTGTCCCTGGTGGCCGCGAGCCGGTGCGGCAGGCGCAGGGCAGGGCGGGCCAGGCCTCGGGGCTCAGTGGGCTCATCTAAGCAGACTCTCGGCCTCCTTCCTGGGGGTCCCACGGTGACCGTTGGGGTCATGCCTGCGCTGTCCCCAGAGCAGGATTTGGTGTCCTGGGTGTCCACGGACACTCCCTAAACATCCACTCCTTCCTCCTCCATTAAACTGCCGGTGGAAGTAACCCGGGTCATGACCCCTCGGGGATCACTGTGCTACTTCTCAACATCGCAGTGTGGGCCATGTCCTGGGAGCCAACCCTCACCGGCGCCACCACCCCCTGTCCCTCCGAGAGCTTCCAGAGGAGGGGGCGTTGAGGCAGGATCCTGGCCAGGTGCCATAGGCAGGACAGTGGGAGCCCAGGGTCACGCGGGCAGCTGGAGAAGCTCAGGCCAGAATCCAGGGGCTGACACCCCACAGCACTGAGTGGGTGCTGGTACGTGGCCTGCTGCAATCATCCTCAGAGCGCTGGTGGTGTAAGTGGGATGGCTCCTCTGGGGCAAGCTCACACCAGCCTTCCGGCCGGGCTCCCCAGCTCCAACACGAGCGGGCACGCGGACAGGCCACTGAGCTGGGGGGTGCAAGGGAAAGGCTGGGAGCGTCACTGGCCGCCTAGGCCCACCGTGCTGCCCCTGCCCTGGGTGCCCAGCATCACATCACGTGTTCAATGGGATGTGGGAGAACTAAGTGACCACAGCACCGTTGCGGTGAGAGCTCTGCTCAACAACGTCGTCTGACGGCTCCCAGGCCTGGGGTTGGGCCCCGAGAGGGGAGACCAGAGCTGCTCTTCAAAACCCTGTCGTTTTAAAAACAGAACGCACAATTCCTGTCCTGTACAAAGTGCATGGTCTGAGCCTTAGGATGGTACTTCAAACAAAAATTTAAGCAAGCGATTCTGGGTGGGAAAGTTCTCTGGAAACCACTGTCTTAAGAGTCCTGAGACTTCAAAACAAACGTGGACACCCCCTACAAGTAAAGAAATATTCTGTCACTCGCTGAACAAAGAAAGCATTTGTACAACAGCAGACAATCTGCACTGTAATAACACCTCCCCACGCGGGTTCTGAGCCCCATGCACCCGTGTGAAACCTCTTGCCGGGATTAAGTAAAAGAACACGAAATGTGCCGGAAAAGCTGTGGCTTTACTCACATCCTATACGTTATCCGTAGGCGGTTTAACCTACTGCAAGAGCAAAATGCCTCCATTAGCCAAAGCTGGCCATCAAAGCTCCTCAGAAGTTACAGCAACTTCTAGAAGAAACAGGAGGCCGACCTTCTCCAGGACCCTGTCAGGAGGGCGGAGTGCATGGCTGAGCAGACGGGACCAAACAGACAGCTCGGGGCAGATCAGTCTGGCTACGGGGGGCCAGGTGAGGGCGCCAGGTAAGCAGGCAGTGCCCCCAGACCTGGACAGCTGGATACCCTCCCAACGCCCCACAGCCTGCTGAAAAGCACACCAGAGTGCTAGGGTTCCTGCCTTCCTTGGTCTCCTAAGGGCTGAGGGTTTCCTGAGGCTGGATCCCACATCTCTTGTTCACTGCAGGGGTTTGGTGCTACACTTGAGCCCCAAGAGGGTTTCACTGTGCTTAACCAAGCCAGGCCTGCAGGTGCCCTGGGGCCCCACGATCCTGGTCACCAGAAAATCTGTACCACCCAAAAGAATGAGTTGGACACAACTTACAAAGCTTCCTCTTGTCAGCACACACCTGCCCCCAAAGGTAAACAGTCAACACAGGCACTGGGCTGACCTTCCTCCTGGCTTCCTTCTGTCTGTCTCTTCCAAGACAGGCTGGATCTGGGTGGGCGGGTGTGGGACCCAGTTCACTTTCTGCTAACACTTAATTGTTGGGGGCTGGGGTCCCACAGAAAAGGGGGATGGGCCTGTGTTGGGCCACCCGGCTGGCAGCAACCTTCCCAGTTTGCGTCAACGGTCCACTCAGGTGGGAACATGCCCACACTCATGCACTGACTCCTTGGACCACGACCCCGTGGTCACCTCTGACCCCACACTCACAGACCCATCCCACCTCCCCAACCACTGCCTGCTCACTTTCGCCCTAGCCTTATTTGCAGGAGCTTTAGAGGGCCTCCTGGAACAAAGGAAACGTCCCCCACTTTGTGATTAAATGCTAAGATGTCATTTTGTCACCTCCCACCCCCACGCACCCCTACACAAACTACCCAAACCACCCAAGCCTGCACACCTGGCAGTGGGTCCTGCACCACTGAGGTCAGTACCCCTCCCTCCTCCCCCCCTTAGGGGCAGGGAGGTGCCCCCCCTCCCGTGTTTCCCCTCAATGCTTTCCACCAAGGCCACAGCATGGCTGCAGGCCGGGAAGACCCAAGTCCCTGCCAGCCTCCTCCAAGTCTGTTAGGCACTTTTGACTCCAGCCGGCTCCAAACAAGCTCAGGAAACCTAAATTTCAGGCCACACCAGGGTCGAGGGTGGGGCCAGGAGACTGAAGACCCCACGCACCCCCGTGCTCCTGCACGGAAAGGGGGGACGGGTGCAGAGGGAAAGAGGCGGAGGGGGAGAGGGATGGCGGGAGAGGGTTAGGGTGGTGGGTCAAAGGGCCTGGGAGCAGGGACCCGGACCCCGCCTCTAAGTCAGAAGCCACCGAGGGGGCAACAGGGGGCCCAGGGGAGGGGCCTGGGCCCTCTGCTCGGGGCTTTGGGGCGCAAACTCCGAAAGGCTGACGGCGGCGGCGAGGTGACAGTCCGTCCAGCCGGGTGCCCGCGGCCCCCGGTGGCCCGTCGTGGGAGGGGTCACGGGGAGGGGACGGACGTGCTCACCTGCGGGGGTGGCAGTCCTGGTGCGGGTCGGGCTCACGGTTCCGGGTCGGGGTCGGGGAATGGGCGGGGGTCAGCCTCCGGGTCTGGAATGGGGTCCGGCTCTGGGTCGGGGTCCGGGTCGGGGTCTGGGTCCGGGTCGGGGTCTGGGTCCGGGTCGGGGTCTGGCCCCGGGTCCGGGTCGGGGTCAGGGTCGGGATCGGGGTCCGGGTCGGGGTCGGGGTTGGGGTCCAGGTCGGGATTGGAGTGCAGCAGCGTGAACGCGGCCGCCGCTTTTCCGGACCTCGGCGGAGCCCCGCGGGAGGCGGCGGTTGGGGGAGAGCGGAGGGGGCGCGCCCGAGCTGCGGCTTGGCCCGCGCTTTGGCCCCTCTCCGCCCGGCCCCGCCCCCGGCCCCGCCCCGGCCCCGCCCGTCCCGTCCCAGCCCCGCCCCCGTCCTCTCCCCTCCCGCCCCGCCCCTCCCGTCCCAGCCCCGCCCCGGCCCCGCCCCGCCCCGCCCCGCCCCGCCCCGCCATCTCCCTTCCCGCCCTCCGGTCCGGCCCCTCCACTGCCATCCTGGCCCCGTCCCGTCCTCTCAGCTGCCCTACCTTCCAGCCCCTGTCTCCTCCCCTCCCGGTCCAGTCCCGCCCCCGTACTCTCCCCTGCCCCCGCCCTGCCCCGCCTCTCTCCGCTCCACCCCGCCCCGCCCGTCCCAGACCCTCCCCCGTGCTCTCCCTCCCTGCCCCGCCTCCTCCCGCTCTGCCCCGCCGGCTCCCTGGCCCTTGCCCGGTTCCCACTCCTCGCCAGAAGGGAGGGGCGCGGCTCGTCCGACTTGCAGCGGGTAGAGTTGCCCGCCCCGGGGTTATCAGTCCGGGGGTCGCAGCATACGGAGGTCACATGGATCCGGGGTCGCATTGTTCAGCGTTCGGCCTGTCCCGGGATTGCGCACCTTCCCAGGGCTACAGCATCCTGGGCTTGCAGCCTCCCGGGGTCGCCCGTCCGGGGGTCGTCCTGGACGCGGAGAGGTGAGCGCGTGGCCTCCGAGAAGCCCCTGCACCGTCGCACTCCCGCTCTGGAAGCGGGCTGAACCCCATTTGCCAGGGCTCCGGGTCCCGCCACTGCCCCGGGCCCCAGGCCTGCGCGTACGACTGTGAACGTCCGCTCCCACCCGCAGCGCCGCAGGCGCCCCGCAGAAGGTCTGCCCCGGAGGCGCGGGGAGAGTACGGTGTGTTATGTGGGGTGCTGGGCACCGGTTCCAGCGCCGTGGGCACGAAGCTGTTGCGGTCGCGGGGGTCCCAAGGAGGGATGTCTCCTCCAAGGAAGGACTGAGGTTGTCCGCAGACACAAAAGCAGCTGCTGGGCGGTGGTAGGGCCTGGGAGTGAGGGGTCCTGAAGGTTAAACTTCCCTGGGATTAGCATCCAGGGGATTTATCGGATCACTACCTGGGGGTGACCAGGCATGCTCTCTGACGCAGTGACATTCCCACAGAAACCTTTAGGAGTAGGGGCCAATGGGCCCAAACCTTGGAATAGCACGTTCAGATCCCCAGGGCTGTGGGGTGGGGTGGGGCTGGGAATTGGCTCAGGAGCCTCACTGTAGGCCCAGCTGGGCTGCCCTGCAGACACCTGCTAGGTGCCCCGCTTCAGTGCTCCCTGGGCTCCAGGTGCCAGGGCCCCAGCACGCAGTCTCTGGGAGGCCGCTTCTGCCTCTCCTTCAAATCCGACTTTCATATCCCCACCTGCCCCCACGCCCGGCTCTTCCCAGCTTTGGTTTCCTTCACACTTGTCATCTTCTAGTAATCATGGTATGTCCGGCCTCCTCCGGTTCCAGCACGAGCCCCAGGCCGGCACATAGTTCTGTTTTGTTTCCTGCTGAAATCCGTACACCCAGAAGAGTTGTTCATCTACCAGGACCACACTCAGAAGTAACACCTCAGGCAGAGCTCTTCCCAGCTCCAGTTAGTCACTCTTCCTCCGGACTCTGAAACCTCAGCTCAACTGTTTGTCAACAATGCCAGCCATGGACCCCGTATCCAACCCTCCCATTTGACAGAGGAGCACACTCAGGCTCAGAGAGGATCCCAGCAAGTGGTGTGGTTAGACAAGCAGGAAACAGTCTTCCCAGTTCCGGAGCCTGGAGAACATCCGTCAAACCCTGCTGTCTGCATCCGCTGTTCCCTGTTGCACTCGACACTTAGTGAGCGAGCTCCTTAGTCAGCCGGCAGAAGCTTGTGGAATAAATGAATATATTAGCAAACCATTATAAAGCCTACCATTACATTTATTATTTAACTTTTATACCCGTCGAAACAGTCCTTTCCACTAACTCATGGGATCAGTCCAAAGCAAAAATGGGCAAGGGGACTATTGTTAGCCAGCGGCTGAACACATGGATTCTGGAGCCTGACTTTTGAGGTCCAAAGCCTGACCCTGTTACCTTCTTGCTGGGTGATCTTAGGTACTTTAACCTCTCTCTGCCTTTGTTTCTCTATCTGTAAAATGGGGTAACAATAGTACTTACTTACAGGGGTGTCTGAGGATTAATTGAGCCAATATTTATAAAACATTCAGAAACTGCTTGGCACTGTAAGGGCTGTGTGTGTTTTAGCCTTTCTACTTTTTTCTACACAGTGAAATGACACGCCACAGTGCAATTGAACAGTATAAATACGGTGCAAAGCACCAGGCGCTTCACCTTACAGCCGGGCGCTCCTGTGGGTCTTAATTTACTTTCCCCTTTCTATTCCCTTTTAGCTACAGAGATGACAGAGCAGTGACCCACTGGAACGAAGGTGGCCCGTGCCGTCTGTGAGCTGGCACAAGAAGGACAAATGGATTGCAAAGGCCTTGGTGCTGGGGACGGGTTGTCACAGACCCGCTGCTACACAGCTCAGAGCTTCCTCGGGTGACATTCGCAAGACCTCGAGAAAGGCTGTGGTCCAGGTGTCATGATGCCCGGAGGGTGTGTGTGGTCCGGTCCTGGGTTTTTTTGTTCTTTGTGGTTGTTCATAAGCCTGGAGGAGAGCATTGCCAACTTCTCACTTACCCATACCCCTGCCTGGAATCCCCAGCTTGCCGTCTGAAGCTGCCCTGTTACAGCTCACGCCCATGGCCAGGAGGCACCGCCCCAGCTCTTTCCTTGGTCCTGTCCTCAGGCCAGATGGGGCTGCGGGGAATCCGTCCTCCCCGCGCTCTGTCAAGTGCCGGCGGTCGGCGGTGGCGGTTATACCGGTCTGCAGAATGATGTGTGGAGGTCCTTCCACAGAACCTGTGAATGAGACCTTATTTGGAAATCGGTCTTTGCTGCCCTATCAAGTTAAGAGGAGATCGTGTGGGGGTCGGGGGGAGCCCCGATCCAATATGACTGGTGTCCTTATACGAAGAGGAGAAGAGACACAGAGCCAGACAGGGAGGAGAAGGCCACGTGACGATGGAGGCAGAGGCGGGGCGTGGCGTCGGTAAACTGAGGCATGCCAAGGTAGACTGGTGCCACCAGGGCAATGATGGAGCAAGAAGGGACCCTCCCCCAGAGCCCTCGGGGGGAGCACGGCCCTGCCAAGCTCAGGTCTTGGCCTTTTGCTCACCAGGACTGTGAAAGAACAGATTTTACTGCTGGAAGCCCGGTCTGGGCTCCTTTGTGACGTCGGCCCCCATGTTGCCCGTGGCCGTGGCGCGTGGCCCAGATCTGGACAGCTCAGCAGCATGTGCGTGTGTGAGCGGCATCGGCGCTGAAATGCTGGGTTCAGCTGCTAGACAGCACAGAGCTGCCTCGGGGGATACGTGCAAACTGAGCCAAGCAAGAATTCACGTATCCCATTTTCGGAATTTTTTGTGCTAGGACTAGGCACAAGAAGGATGGGGTTGGGTGGTTTAAAGTGAGGACAAAGTAGTCCCAGTTTCTAGTGACCTCACGAAGAGCTCCCCACCCTTCAAATGACGGCCGGGAGATGCTTGGCCTTCTGTGTTGAAAGCATGTGCTTTTTCCTTGAAAGATGCAAAGTGCAGCCAGGGGCACTCAGCATGAGTTTCCCAGGGCTGCTGGGACGAAGTCCCATGAACTGGGTGGCTTAAACCCACACACACTGATTCTCCTCAGTCCCGGAGGGGAGAAGTACAAGATCCTGGCGTGGGCAGGGCCCTGCTCCCTGCCACTCCCAACCCTGGCCTTGAGCCGTTGCTGGGCCTCCCTTGGTTTGTAGACGCCCCACTCCCATCTCCTCTTCGTCTGCACAGGGCCTTGTTCTGTGTTCTCTCTTCCCCTCCTCTTACAAGGACACCAGTCATAGGGGCAGGGCGCCCCCCCCACCCGCCTCTCCGGTGTGAGCTCGTTGTAACTAATTACAACTGCACCCACCCTCGTTCCAAATAACGGCACACTCTGGGATCCTGGGGGTTCCGACATCACCAAGTCTTTGTTCAGAGAAGGGACACTATTTAACCCCTCATATGCACCCAAAGCAACCCCCCCATCCCTCCTTCTTTAATTCAGCTTCCCGGGGCCAGGGGCTGTTCTCACCAGGACCAGAGTTCAGGGGAACGCCAGAGAAGCTGCTTCCCTGGGGATGGGGCTTAGTGTCCATTTTCAGGCTTCAAGTGGGAGTTGGCCACGGTAATACCAGGAACGAGGTGCAGTGGTTTTTTTCTAGAGGAGTTGTCTTTTCTAGATGCAGATCCAGCTTCTGACCCAGCCGGCCTGGGACTGAGCGGGGAGACGTCATTGCGAGTGACAGCTCTTCTCCCCCCGAGGAGGACTGTCCGGGCTGCCCACCGTGCTAGTGACGAGGGACCCGGCCCCTCGCGCGGCCCACCAGGAGCATGGGGTGCTGTCTGAAGCTCAAAAAGGAGGTGAGAGTATCAATGCCTCAGACACCAGTGTGTGCAAGTGCTCCAGGGGCAGGACTTCAAAGTGCAATTCAAGTACCACCTGCAGGGCAGGAAGCCACGCCTTGGCCATCTCCAGAGCAGAGGGGCCCGAAAGGATGGAGGCACCCATTTTATTGTCTTGTCATGAAACAAAGAGGGACGTTCTGTTGGGACCAGAGTCCGAAGTTTCACCGAACTCGGCAAACAAGCCAGCAGCAACCTGCCTCTGTCCTTCTATCCAGAGCTCACAGGTCACATACCGCGTGCCTGGGAAACGAGTGGCCGAGGCAGAGATGCCCACACGTGCTCAGTCTCTAAAACACGGAACTTTAAAAATGCTATTTATTATAGTTCGGTATCTTAGTGAAATACCTCCTAGTATCTTTCCACCTACCTAAATCGCACACGCACCGCACTGAAACTTTTTTTTTTATTAATGTGGCTGATTTTTCATGCATTTTCTATGTTGCATAGTGATGTTTCAGGGATGAATACGGCATCTTGCACAGAGGGCCCCTGCTCCAGGGGCGCAGGGCGGCCACATCACTCCAAAATTTGTTTTTCCCCGGGGCGCCTGGCTGGCTCAGTCTGCTGAGTGTCTGCTCTTGGTTTGGGCTCAGGTCATGATCTCAGGGTCTTGAGATCAAGCCCCAGGTCAGGCTCCGTGCTCAGTGGGGAGTCTGCCTGAGAACCTCTCTCTCTCCCTTTGTCCCTCCCTCCATCCCCCTCCCCCAAATTAAAAAAAAATTGTCTTTCATTTTATCTGTTTTAACTTTTCTTTCTCTCTGTTATTGATCCGTCGGCTATCACTTCTTGTGTAATCAGTCTTTCTCCTGTCACCCCTTCGTTTCCCCTCTCTGATCTGCGATGCACGGCCATGCGGCGGAAGAGGGTGGGAGCCAGGCCTGGGATCACAGTGAGCCGGCCCCCCCGGAAATAGCCCAGATATTCTTAGGTGAGTACAGTGAGCGCCCCTGTACCTAAACTTTGGGGATTTTCTTTAAATCATTCGCAGAGATCTTGTTGGTCTGTCTCTCCATTCTTGGTTGTGA